CCCACCAAAACTCACTTTTCTCAATGGCCACGATGCATCTCCCTCCGGCGACGCTTTACGCCGGGAAACCCTCCGGTGTCTTATCTCCGACGACTCCGAACGACGCCCTACTACTCAACAGACCCACCAACCGTAGTTCCGGTCTGGTCCTCCGATCGTCTTTCTTGCCCATATTTTCGATGAGACCTTTACCCAAAATGAAATCTTCTTCTTCTGCTCCCAGATTCTCCATGCGTGTCGCCTCCAAGCAAGCCTATATCTGCCGTGATTGTGGGTCTGTTTTAAACCCTCTTCTTTCCCTTTAATTACTCTCTCTTCTTCACTTCTCCAACGTTCAAAATTTTCATTTTCTCTGCTTCTCTTTGATTGGGATAGGTATATTTACAATGACAAAACTCCATTCGACAAGTTACCTGATAAATATTTCTGTCCAGGTTTGGTGATTCATGCTTCCTGTAATTCACTTTTAATGATCTGACCCATTTTTTTAGTGGACTTGTGTTTGGTTTTTCAATGGGGTTTTAGTGCTTTTGCAGTGTGTGGTGCTCCTAAACGCCGGTTTAGACCCTACATGCCTGATGTGAGCAAGAACGTCAACGACAAGGATGTGAGAAAGGCTAGAAAAGCTGAGCTCCAAAGAGACGAAGCCATTGGGTAAAAAAACAAACAAAACTGCCTTCCTTCTTTCTTTCAATTTTACATCGTTGCCACTCTGGTTTTATCATGTGTGTTCTTATGGCAATCACGCAGGAAGGCGTTGCCCATTGCAATTGCGGTTGGAGTTTTAGCTCTCGCAGCTCTTTACTTCTATGTCAACAATACAACATGAATGCAGCATCATCAAGAAGCTACATTCTCCTTTTGTTTTGTATGACATTCATCTTCAGACTTGTTAGACATTGTAATGAAGTAAAGTATTGAGCTTTCTATGTACCAAAATGATATTGATTGTTGCTGAGGTCAATAAAAGAGGGTAAGTATGATACAGAGGAAATTGACAATGATAGAAAAGGGGTAAAAACGGCTAGTCTTGCAAGATGAGGGATCCTTGAATTGGTTTATCGATTGAAGATTGATACAGGATGTTCAAAGCAGACAAGTTCTCATTGATGCTCGAGGTTGTCGCTGGCTTGAACTCGTACGGGCCTTGCTTTGGCCCCCAAACCTGCAATGTCCCAAAACCACATTTATCATAAGATTTATGAGATTTTTGTTTTAGTAATATCTTGAAAACTTCCGATGCTACAGTTCGTAAGCGTGATAAAAATGTGATGAACCTGGTTTTGATTCTCGTCAAAGCCGCGATCCCAAAGGTGTATCTCATTGTTTTTCAGGACTGAAAGATCTGAAGTACAATAGCTAGCCCCATTCTGCAATCCGAAAATGGAACTTAAGAGCTATCTCGTGGAAGACGTGCCAAGATTATCTTATAGGAACATACCCATGAGTTTGGAAATCCACCGGGTGAAGTTGAGCCTTCATACATGCAACGTTTCCCACGGTCACAACAATTGAGGTGTATAGTTGTCAAATGCTCCCCAATGTCCTATTAGTTTGATCCATTTTAAGTTTGATTTCCAGTGACCAGAGATCTCGGTGTACCTTTATTGATATAAAACATGAAAACTTACACCGATAACTTCTTCAGGAAGTGGGCGTTGGTCCTTAGGACGGTCACAGAAATTTTTGTATTCCTCGGCATCTCTGATCGCATATGAACTTACCTGGAATTAATACTGCTCAATACTCTATTGTAATGGAATATATGAGAAGATCACAACAACTCATATCCTCACCTCGACATCACATTTCAGCTCTTTTGGACATGGTTTAACCATGTATAATCTCTGGAATCAAACAGAGGTAAAACAATGCATACGAGTTAAGCGTTGGTTCAAATGGAATCAAACAAGAGAAGCCATGTGGGAAAGCATACTTGACGAAATGGTTTCTGAGGAGTCCTCCAAAATGCCTGAGAAACATATATAAAAAACACATTCATACGGGAGTGTACATCGATTAATGTAGCTGGTACAGAGAAGTCAGAGATTACCTGTTCAAGATACAAAACCTCTGAACCATCCACCATCTCAGCAGCAGGGCAACTCAGCATTCTGCAAAACTATTTCAAAATCAGACAAAAGCTAGAGATAGATATCAACAGTTACGATATTGAAAATCATTAACATTAACTCGAGAACCAAGTTCCTGAACAGTATCAAGAGCAAATTACAGAAGAAGAAAAAGCTAGTACAAAAACCAATTTCAAGGCAAATTTTAAGAGCTTGAGGTTTAGGGAAGTAGAAAGTTTGAGATGAAGAACATGATAAACCTTATGTTGAAGTAATTCTCAGGATCCCTTGACGCTTGCTCCCTCGAAAACTTCAAATTACGTGTGAACAAAAACCTCAAATCAGAGACAAACTTCGTGCTAAGACACAGAAATTCATAGCCAAAGCAGTCCAAAATCAAACGAAATTGGGAATAAACCTTCTCTCCGGTGAGTGAACGAGAAACGACGCGAGCGTGATCTCTACGAGTGGTGGATTTAGTGAGACGCTTGAGGAGAAGAGCGCCGCCAATCAGAACCAGAGACTTAACCACCAGTCCACGAGCACGGCTCCAACCGTTGGAGCTCGACTCCGGATCCGAACCCGACCCGCTACACATAAACGGTTTCAATTTAGTACGAAGCTTCCATCTCTTCTTGTTTCGATGGCTTTTCCGATCACAAGTCGCGAGAAAACTGGCTGTGACGACTGAAGACGATCGACGTTTTTCGCTTCGCGGAACTAGTGGTGAGATTGTTTGCCACGTGCAACTTTTCCATCTCTTTTTTCCTCACCTTATAATTTTCTTTTTCAAAAATATCCCCATAAAACTACATTATTTATTTTTCTATTATCTTTAAAATACCCAATTTTTTTGTTAGGATTACTTTGGTGTATAACAAAAAAATAAATAGTTAATTAGAGAGAGTGAGAAAAGAGTGAGGGAAACTGAAAGAAAAGGCATTGGTTTTGTCACATGGCTTAATATATATTTATCCTTTGCTATGGAACCTAATTTGTAACGCCCGTGAACCAAAAATATGATTTTTAGATTGTGCGTTGATCGACACAGTGTTTCGACTTATGCGAAGTCGCGAATTCGGATGTTGCATCGATCAACACAGGGTGTATGTGTGTCGATCGACACAAGCTAGAATTGAACCGGGTTGGTTCGATTTGGGCGTGGGTTCGACTCGGTTTAAGGAGATGCCCTAGGGCTCGCCTATAAAAGGGTGGCAGAAGAGTTGTGTTGCGTTTTAGGTCGTTTTTGAGTTCCAGAAAAATTCCAGAGAATTTTCAGTGAGTTTTGAGTGAGGATTTGAGAGAAAAGGAAGAATCATCGTTGATTTCTTCGAGTTCTTGATCCTAAAAGCTCCGGTATGGTTGTGAGGCTCTGGAGATCGTTTCTGGTGGGTTGGATTCGCGATTTGGAGAGGATTCAGATTGGAGATCTGCGTTCTTCATGTTCTTCATGAAATTTCATCATTTTTCCTTCCCGAATCGAGGTGAGTGTGTGACCATAGGTTTATCTGGGTAAAGGAATAGGTAGAATGCGATTGCTTGTGTTTGTTTGGTGGATTTCGTGTTGTATTTGGTGGATTTGTGCAGGAGATCAAACCGATGCGATCAGGAATCGATCCGTGAGAGGATAGGTTCGATTCCTGAGTTCCGCGTCGT